TGATGCTATGCAATTCAATATGGTACAGATAGTTCGCAAATCACGTTCAGACAGACAGCAAGTCATTAATTAACTCAAGTGCCTTCTGACTTCTAATGCCTCGGTCTCCGTAGTGTTGTGATATGTCATATTCACGTAGCAGCAGTGGTGATGAGAGAACGCGCTTGAGAAACTGTTTAGAGAGGAGAAATCAATCTACATATAAAATATTGGTCACAAATTATTGGTCACTTTCTAAATAATAAAAGTATAGCACATCTAGATAAATCGTTTTTTTACCAATGCATATATGTTAGAAATGATGCATCGCGATACAAATGCCAACTTGGATCCAGTGCATACTTTTTAAAATCAGTGCATCGCATCGTTAACTTTAATACCGATGCACTGATGCGAATCTGTGAATCTTACCATCCCTAGTATGTAGCTGAGAAATGTGCTGTATCTGTTATCTTATAAAAGGTCAGTGGATTTTATAAGCCCATCAAAGTCCTGCTCATGCATGTGTGCCATGAGCATTTAAGCACTGCAAGACTTCCATAATTGCTGTCTGTATTACTTTCTTTCATTCTCCCCTTGTGTTCTGCTTATCCCTTTTGCTCTTGTTCTCTCTCGCTTTCCTTCTCTCTTTCTCCATCTCAGCATAGTTGAGAAATCACATCTGAACTAATGAAAGTGGTTTGATTTATTTCAAACGTGGCTCTTGAATAAGTGGCTCATTATCATGGTAAAGAGAATTGGTGACAGCTTGCAGTGAGACTCGCTTATCTTCTCTCTTATTTCCTCTTTCTCTCGTTCTCCTTATTGTTTCTGTCACTCTCCCCTCTCTGCCTTTGATCCGCTAATTTGCAACGTTTTTTGCCAATCCCTCCCCCATTCTTTTCTTCCTCATTCTTTTCATCTGCTTTTCCCCTTTTTTATATCTGTTTTGCTTGAATATTTCTTTGCACTGATTTTCTCTTGCTTTCATCTCCTCCCTCCGTCATCTTTTCATCTCTTTCTCTTTTTTTTTCCCCCAGGTGGAATGAAAGAGCAGGATTTGATGTGTATAAAGCTGCATGGCGTGAATCGAATAGGGCTAAAGAAGATTATAGACTTCATTTACACCGCCAAACTCTCTCTCAACATGGAGAACCTACAGGACACCCTAGAGGCTGCTAGCTTTCTCCAGATCCTGCCTGTCCTTGACTTCTGCAAAGTCTTTCTCATTTCTGGGGTAGGACACTGTTCAAACCATTTCAAATGAGAATGCTCTAATGTACTTTGTAGTATTAACACACAGTTCTTACCCCCTCTTAGGTGTCACTGGACAACTGCGTGGAGGTGGGGCGCATCGCCAACGCCTACAACCTCACAGAGGTGGACAAATACGTCAACAAATTTATCCTAAAGAATTTCCCCTCGCTACTCGGCACCGGCGAGTTTGTCAAACTTCCATTCGAACGTCTAGCGTTTGTGCTCTCCTCCAACAGTCTAAAACACTGCAGTGAGCTGGACCTGTTCAAGTCTGCATGCCGCTGGTTACGCTACGAAGAAGGCCGCATGGAATACGCCGCCAAGCTAATGCGCAATATCCGATTCCCCCTCATGAGTCCAACAGAACTCATAAACCACGTACAGACTGTCGACTTCATGCGTACGGACAATACCTGTGTTAATCTTTTATTAGAAGCCAGCAACTACCAGATGATGCCATACATGCAGCCGGTGATGCAGTCGGAACGAACTATGATCCGTTCAGACAATACCCATTTAGTGACGCTAGGGGGCGTGCTACGGCAACAGCTGGTTGTAAGTAAAGAGTTGCGACTTTTTGACGAGAAAGCACATGAATGGAAGGCACTGGCACCCATGGACGCCCCGCGCTACCAGCACGGGATCGCAGTGATCGGGAACTTTTTGTATGTGGTCGGGGGACAGAGTAACTATGACACGAAAGGAAAAACAGCTGTGGATACCGTGTTTCGATACGACCCAAGATATAACAAGTGGATTCAGGTGGCGTGTCTGAATGAGAAGAGGACCTTCTTTCATCTGAGCGCTCTCAAAGGACATCTATATGCGGTGGGCGGGAGAAACGCTGCAGGAGAGCTGGGTGAGTCAGGAAGGGATTTTAGTGTCACAGCAGGGGACAGATTTCTAAGGGACATGCTGTGCTTCAGTTGTTGACATGTTTTGTAAATATAACATTAATAGGAGTGTCTTGCAGTTTGCTAATTACGTGTGGATGTAAACAAAAAAAAAAACACAAATTTCTAGATGCTAAAAATATCCTGGTATTTTCGGTTGGTCCTAATTATAGAATGATTTGACTTGATCCTGAAGGAGAGTTAGTTTGTCAGCAATGCTGCCCCCTAAGGGGTGTTGCTAATCATGTCAGTGGTTCTCAACTGGTGGGTCGTGACTCAAAATACTTCGTCACTAATGTAGAAGCTAGCATAATTAGGCAGATACCAACATGGACTTGACTTCCCCTCCACCTTCAGAACCATGGATTACACAAGATAAAAATTACAACCCAGACTACATTAAAAACTTGTTTGCGTGCAGTGAGGATTAACACGTTTTGTGCTGTCACCATTGTGTTTTGTAATGTGAATTTTGGAATGCTGAGAGCATGACACTATCAAAATGTAAAATTGCAGTGTAACTGAAGTAGCAGCAGATAATTTCTAAAAAAGTAGAGTGCAGATATGTCTCTATGCATTAGGGCTGCACGATTAATCGAATGCGATAGTCATGCGCTTCTTGTCAGCATTTACTACACAGAGCCATAGTTCACTGACAAGCTACGCAATATCGCGTTCATTATTGCAGATAATTTAATCGCGCGATAATGAAATCGAAGATATCATTCTGCGATAACAGCTGTTTGCGTAGCTTCTCAGTGAACTACAGCTCTGTGTAGTAAATGCTGCTCCATCTGAAAGCATGTGAAAATACCACATTTAATAACATGTTTTTACTCCAAACTCACTTCATAACGTGAGTCGAGTGTTTGAAATAAATCCTTCAGTGAGATAATGTGGCTTCTTAAACAGAATAAGGCACGCAACATATTTCATAGTATTTAAGCAGTGATAAAGGCATATTTTAATGAAAATTATAATACCAAGAACTCAGATAAACCGTATATTGCCGTAGTCGTCTGTTTATTAGTCACGTTGAATCAATGAAAGCAGTTGAATCTTCTGTTTATTCAGCTGCAGCGATAGGCATTTTCTGGGTTTTTTCTGCGAGGCGTATTTGGAGTTTCAGCGCGAGAGCGCCCTCTGGACTTCGGAGGGAGATTTACTGCTGATCACAGAACCGTGCTTCACTGAAAGATACGCATGACAATAGCAGCTTCTGCCTAATCACGATTTATCGCCTTTGCGATTTAATTTCGATTAATTGTGCAGCCCTAATACAACTCACTGAATTAATAAAAACTAAAGCATACTGAATGATAGAGAGTATGTAGCTTAGAGGTGGTTCACTGGTTTTTTTCTAGGCTTGATTGTGTTTATGGGGTGCAGTCTAACAAGCTGGGCGAGTGTGTGTTGTGATTGGTTAGCTGGGCGAGTGTGTGTTGTGATTGGTTAGCTGGGCGAGTGTGTGTTGTGATTGGTTAGCTGGGCGAGTGTGTGTTGTGATTGGTTAGCTGGGCGAGTGTGTGTTGTGATTGGTTAGCTGGGCCAGTGTGTGTTGTGATTGGTTAGCTGGGTCAGTGTGTGTTGTGATTGGTTAGCTGGGTCAGTGTGTGTTGTGATTGGTTAGCTGGGTCAGTGTGTGTTGTGATTGGTTAGCTGGGTCAGTGTGTGTTGTGATTGGTTAGCTGGGTCAGTGTGTGTTGTGATTGGTTAGCTGGGTTAGTGTGTGTTGTGATTGGCAGCACTCGGTGCCTGGTCGGGAAATGTCATGCCCCTTACCATAGCCGCCTGCGAGCTTCAGTGTAAATATTGCGTCAAAATCAAATCAATTTGAGCGTGATTTAAACCCGGATGATTGTAAGCACTCTAAGTTTGTCTGCCTTGTGAAAACCAGCGCGTCTCCGACATATAGTGATAACACTCATTGCCTTCTTTAGTGCAGCTCAACCATGTCTCATCCCATTCGTCGATCTTTGTGATATCACAAATCCCGGAAAATATGCGTTGTAGTCCAAACGAGTCGTTCGTTGTAGTTTTTGAAAAGTGATTTCTGTTAAATAAAATATCTCCTTTTGAATTGGACTTTGAGCTTTGTAACTTTGCAGATCTTTTTTATGCTCAAACAGCAACATTACAGACTAACTAAAGTTGAAAAAGTGAAAAAGCATAATAGGACCCCTTTAAATTATAAAACTAATTATAATAAGAACTCCGATAAATCATATATTGTCATAGTCCTGTGTTTATTAGTCATGTTGAATCAATGAAAGGTGTTAAATCTTCACTTTATTCAGCTACCGATTTCTTCTACGAGCTGATTTCTGGCCTTCGGATGGAGATTTACTACTGATCACAGAACCGTGCTTCACTGACAAGATGCGCATGACTATCGCAGCTTTTGCCTTATCGCGATTGCGGTTTCATTTCGATTTATCGTGCAGCCCTACTATCTCATCAGTTGTTCATTGCATTAACACAGATCTGAATGCGAGCTTGCAGTGGATCAGATGGTAAAGTCCATCATACATCATACATCACCAGAGAGAAGGCTGTCATATCACCAGAAGATCAAACTATGGAATGTTTAACCCAACCTTCTGGGTAGTAACCCAACCGCTGGGTCAAAACAACCCAATTTGCTGGGTTTGTCCATATTTTACCCAGCACTGGTATGTATTTAACCCAGCATTTTTTAGAGTGTAGAAACTTTATGTACACAGTGAACTTATGCTGTTGTGAAGTATGTATGATGAATTGTCTCTCAACTCTACTTTAAATACCCATAATTATGTGTAACCAGTGTGTAACGATTTTATATTTTTTTGCGGACACTTTATTTAAAATCATATGGATATCAGTGAGGGAGTCATGAACCTTCATTGCTCATTTTCGGACCACTCATTTTCCACCTGCTGCTGTTTAGGATTTTACATACAGTTGGTTTAGAAAACTGCTTATAAGTACTTGGACTAGCTACATTTTATGTTATTACAGTTTCTTATCCTTTTATTTTTTAGCCAGAAATAGCATTAAGAGCTTGTTCTGTGATTGGTTTTATATTCTCTTATTTAAAAGAGTGACATATTCTGAATAAACATCTAGTCCGGAATCAGATAAGTCCCCAAAAATGCTATTTTTCCCAATCTCCTATTTACCTTGGATAAAGAGAACTAGAAATTAATATATCATCTGCCTGTATCAGATCTTCTCTTTATCATCTGATCTGTGTGGACAGATACTTTTATAAACCTATGAAAAGCATTGCTTCTGATTTAGAGAGATTAGATAAGAGCAGCGAGTTTTTGTGAATATTTAACAGGTGAAGTAGCGGTTTCTGTGGATACAGTGGTCTTTGTACCATTATTGGGTTTATATTGTGTACCTCCTTCAATAATGTTTAATAATAGATCATCATCTCTGTGGGAGAATGTCACTGAATCTATATTAATGGTCATCAGAATCTAAACTTGCATCTGTTCAGTGTGCTGTGAAAGTACACTAGTTTGGTTGTGTATAATTGAGCGCTAAAGCGTCCCTATTCTCTCTGTTTGTGAGAGCATGACTAATGTACAAGAACTAATTTTTTGTCCCCTTTAGACCTCTTCCTGGATCCACATTAACTCAGCTGTTAGTCTAGTCATCTTTCTTGGCATTCAAGACCTTGTTTTCATCTCTAATTCTCACTGTCTCTTGTCTTTCTCTAGCAACTGTGGAGTGTTATAACCCCAGAACAAATGAATGGAATTATGTGGCCAAAATGAACGAGCCGCATTATGGACACGCAGGCACTGTTTACGGAGGATACATGTACATTTCAGGTACCTGTCACACATCTGTATGTTTGTTTGTTAGTTATGTATGTGGGTCAAAGACGTTAAAGGGAGCTAAAGCGTCCCTATTCTCTCTGTTTGTGAGAGCATGACTAATGTACAAGAACTAATTTTTTGTCCCCTTTAGACCTCTTCCTGGATCCACATTAACTCAGCTGTTAGTCTAGTCATCTTTCTTGGCATTCAAGACCTTGTTTTCATCTCTAATTCTCACTGTCTCTTGTCTTTCTCTAGCAACTGTGGAGTGTTATAACCCCAGAACAAATGAATGGAATTATGTGGCCAAAATGAACGAGCCGCATTATGGACACGCAGGCACTGTTTACGGAGGATACATGTACATTTCAGGTACCTGTCACACATCTGTATGTTTGTTTGTTAGTTATGTATGTGGGTCAAAGACGTTAAAGGGATAGTTCACCCAAAAATGAAAATTTGATGTTTATCTGCTTACCCCCAGGGCATCCAAGATGTAGGTGACTTTGTTTCTTCAGTAGAACACAAACTAAGATTTTTAAGTCAAACCGTTGCAGTCTGTCAGTCGTATAATGTAAGTGGCTGGGAATCATGGCTTTGAGAGTCATAAAACATATACACAAACAAAACCACATTAAACCCTGCAGCTCATGATGATACATTGATGTGTAAAGACACAAAACGATCAGTCTGTGCAAGAAACTGAACAGTATTTATATCTTTTTTACCTCTGATTTTCACCGCAATGTCAGAAATTATTCTGATATGCTGATTTCGTGCTCAAGTAACATTTCCTATTATTATCAATGTTGAAGGCATTTGTGCTGCTTAATATTTTTGTGGAAGATATGATACATTTTTTCAGGCATTTTGTTTTAAGAGTCAAGCTCAAACTCTTGATTCCAATTGTATTTAGATTCGATTTGATTCAGATTCATTTTAATATAATCAGTTTTAATGAAAACCACACACTTCACCTTTAATATGCACACAAGTTCAAGAAAAAAGTTGAATTTAATCAGAAATCTGCATCCTCATTCTCAAACACATTTTCACAGATCAGGTAGCTGCTCAGGTGTCGCTGACAGGAAGAGAAATATCTGGAGGGTGAGAATGAGATGTTCTCACCACACACACAAACTGATCCTCCATAGATCAGTGTTCTCTCTATCAGGTGGCAAGAAACTAACTTCTCTAAACAGAGACACACAGAGACACACTCACAGGGTGTTAACCTGCCCTCTGCAGGATTGTTCCCATCACATGCTCACTTTACAGGATTGCAGCTCAAATCCTGCTTTATGGAGATGAGTCCTACTTTCACTGAGAATGATAAACAGAGAGAGAGAGATGGTTGGTCGGATAGGGTGGCGAGAGGAGGAGAAGTAGTGATGACATGAATTAGAGAAGTGTGTTTCTGTGTGATAATGAACATGGCGGTATGTAGGAGGAGTGTGATCACACATACACACACACACACAGACACACACACAAAGAGCTGTGATAATGCTGTTCAAGGCTTTCTGTCTTCTCCCACACACACATTTACCACTCCATACATTAGCTTTTAAAACTCTTACACGAGCACGAGACAGATGACTCTCATTCAACCCTCCAGCAACCTCTAAATAACATTCTGAACTCCTCAACATGATATGCGAGCGCTGTATATGAAGCAGTGTCACTGTAGTAGGGCCCTATGATTTCTGCGATATGGAAAACGAGAAATCCAGTCATAAAAACAGAATCTACAGTATAACGTGGAATGTCACCGAATTTGCCAAATTTTAGACTGGTAAATCAAAAGTAGGTCAGTATATGTAAAACCAAAATTTGATAATTTTTAAGGAATATTTAGCAAAAAAAATATTTAGCAGAATTTATTTAGCAGAAAAATTTTAATACACAACACATTTTCCTGAATAAATAAAACAATAAATAATTTTTGAATGGAATAAGTTAATTAGAGATGCTTTGATTAAAATTTAATGAAACCATTCAAATGGAATCCAGAAAAATAATGGAAAACGGTATTTGGTTTTCCATTTCATAAGGTCTAAAAAATCAAATGTTTTTTTTTTTTTTTAAATGTATACACATTTTATTTTTATGTTTTTGCCATTTTTAAAATACTATTTATTTCTCGGCCTCTAAAACAGACATTCTATGGACATACCCAAGACCATGTGGATAGGGAAAATAAATGTTAATCATAATATCATATCTCATTTAGAAACCAGTCAAATCCAAATGGATAAAATCATGTTCCACTCTACCTTTTTCCGTGATAAATATTGTTTCACTCAGAAATGTCACATTATAAAGGTTAAATGCTTTCTGAATGGTTGTCTGAGCTAATGAAAAATGTAGAAAAACAAAACACAGATTTTGATCAATGTGACATTTCTAGAGAGTTAATAGTTGTTGTAAAAAAAAATCTCTTCAAAACTGCACTTGTAATTATACAAAATATAAAACCTTCCTCCATGTTACAGTCTCACTCTATTCTGCCTCGAGCATTGTGTATTTATGCATGCATAAGTATTTGTCTGGTGATGTACATTACGCATTTACACTGATTCTCACACTTCTTTCCTCCTTCATCTCCTCCACCCACGTTGTTTCTCTAGAGTATTTTTGGAAGTGCTGATCCTTTTGTTTTTACTCTGGCATCTGTGTCCTTACTCCTACATGCATGTCTCTCTCTCTGTCTCTCTCTCTCTCTCTCAGTCAGCTATATAGGTCATGAAGCAGTGGAGTATTATTAAGCTCTGCACTCACATGAGCATTAGTGTGCGTGCATGAAACAGTCTCATCTTATGTGCTGCCTCATGCTTTGTTCTCTGTCATCATCTCTCTAGTCTCACCTCTTTCTCTCCTTTGCCTGTTTCCTCACTGTTTCACCTCAGACTTCATCCTCTTACTGCTTTATTTGTGTTTTGATTCACACAAATGCACTGGAACAGGAGAATGAGAAAGTGTGTGTGTGTGTGTGTGTGTGTGTGTTTGAGTGAATCATTCTCTTCTCTTAGTAAAGGAAAGAATGGATGGATGGATGAAGTGTTAGAGGGCAAAAATAGGAGGGATGGAGAGAGAAAGAGAAGAGAGGGTCTGGTTGGCTGATGCCCAGGTGCCTGATGGGATGGTTCTCTTTATTTTCAGCCCTCCCTGTAGACATGTCCTTAAATAAAACAATAAATAATTTTTGAATGGAATAAGTTAATTAGAGATGCTTTGATTAAAATTTAATGAAACCATTCAAATGGAATCCAGAAAAATAATGGAAAACGGTATTTGGTTTTCCATTTCATAAGGTCTAAAAAATCAAATGTTTTTTTTTTTTTTTAAATGTATACACATTTTATTTTTATGTTTTTGCCATTTTTAAAATACTATTTATTTCTCGGCCTCTAAAACAGACATTCTATGGACATACGCAAGACCATGTGGATAGGGAAAATAAATGTTAATCAATCAATCATATCTCATTTAGAAACCAGTCAAATCCAAATGGATAAAATCATGTTCCACTCTACCTTTTTCCGTGATAAATATTGTTTCACTCAGAAATGTCACATTATAAAGGTTAAATGCTTTCTGAATGGTTGTCTGAGCTAATGAAAAATGTAGAAAAACAAAACACAGATTTTGATCAATGTGACATTTCTAGAGAGTTAATAGTTGTTGTAAAAAAAAATCTCTTCAAAACTGCACTTGTAATTATACAAAATATAAAACCTTCCTCCATGTTACAGTCTCACTCTATTCTGCCTCGAGCATTGTGTATTTATGCATGCATAAGTATTTGTCTGGTGATGTACATTACGCATTTACACTGATTCTCACACTTCTTTCCTCCTTCATCTCCTCCACCCACGTTGTTTCTCTAGAGTATTTTTGGAAGTGCTGATCCTTTTGTTTTTACTCTGGCATCTGTGTCCTTACTCCTGCATGCATGTCTCTCTCTCTGTCTCTCTCTCTCTCTCTCAGTCAGCTATATAGGTCATGAAGCAGTGGAGTATTATTAAGCTCTGCACTCACATGAGCATTAGTGTGCGTGCATGAAACAGTCTCATCTTATGTGCTGCCTCATGCTTTGTTCTCTGTCATCATCTCTCTAGTCTCACCTCTTTCTCTCCTTTGCCTGTTTCCTCACTGTTTCACTTCAGACTTTATCCTCTTACTGCTTTATTTGTGTTTTGATTCACACAAATGCACTGGAACAGGAGAATGAGAAAGTGTGTGTGTGTGTGTGTGTGTGTGTGTTTGAGTGAATCATTCTCTTCTCTTAGTAAAGGAAAGAATGGATGGATGGATGAAGTGTTAGAGGGCAAAAATAGGAGGGATGGAGAGAGAAAGAGAAGAGAGGGTCTGGTTGGCTGATGCCCAGGTGCCTGATGGGATGGTTCTCTTTATTTTCAGCCCTCCCTGTAGACATGTCCTGTTTTCTTTTTCCTCTTGTCTTTTTTTCCTCCGCTTCCCTCTCTAGTTCATTTCGGGGAGTGTGCGGACCTGGTTGTGTGTTTGTGTTTTCGAGATGCATTATTCAATCTTAACTCTTTCCTCAACAGACCTTGAGAGAGTTTATGCATTATTCATTTCTTGTTTTGTATATCTAATGCTCCCAAGAACGTTCACGCACAAGGTGTCTGTTACAGCAGAGAAAGTGATGTGAATTCTCTCTCCGGTTTGTTGTGCAGGTGGAATAACCCATGACACCTTCCAGAAGGAGCTCATGTGCTTCGACCCGGACGCTGATAAGTGGACTCAGAAGGCTCCAATGACGACGGTCCGTGGCCTGCACTGCATGTGCACAGTGGGCGACCGCCTCTACGTCATCGGTGGAAACCACTTCCGGGGCACAAGCGACTACGATGACGTGCTGAGCTGTGAGTACTACAGTCCCGCCTTGGACCTGTGGACGCCGATCGCCGCCATGCTCCGCGGACAGAGCGACGTGGGCGTGGCCGTGTTTGAGAACAAGATCTACGTGGTGGGCGGCTACTCGTGGAACAATCGCTGCATGGTGGAGATCGTCCAGAAATACGACCCCGAGAAGGACGAATGGCACAAAGTGTTTGACTTGCCCGAGTCCCTGGGTGGCATCAGAGCCTGCACTCTGACCGTGTTTCCGCCCGAGGACCTCTCACTCGCCGGCTCACCGAGCCGCGAGTCTCCTCTGTCGGCTCCTTGAGAATGGACGGAGGGAGAGTGAGAGAGACAAGAATAAAGCGGACGGATCGGTTGGTAGACATATACAGATGGATGAGTAGATGCAGATGCAGTCTCTCTCGTTCTCTCTCTCTCTTTCTCCCTCTCTCTCTCTCTCTCTCTCTCTCTTTGTCCCCACAGGAAAAAGACAATGTTTGCACTCCCCACTGATATACGTTTCGATGGTGTCTGTGGTAAAACCCCGTCCCTTCCCTCAAACGATTCCACTTCTCTTCCTCATCCCTCCGCAAATGCTGAAAAGTCCTTCCACCCCCTCTCGATGAGAAAGAAAAATGGAAGCACTCCCAGGGTTGGGTGTAACTACATGTTAACATTGCATTTGGGGGGGTTGTTTCGTCTCTTTTGGCAGGAATAACCTAGACTTGAACAACAAGTGACTTTGCAATTCAACTTTTCTACCTGAGTCTCCAGAGTTTTGCTATGAAGACTATGAAGTTTCCCTGATCCCACCTATTCTGAGGTCGCCTACCCCCTCACTGTTCACTCTCTCTTTCCATTATGCCTGCTCATTTTTCCCGTTTCTGTCCGCTCTCACCTCTTGCCCAGTTTTTTTACCCTCATTCTCTTGTCTCTCTCAGGGGGTTAGTTGACCTTTGACCACAGGATGAGGAAACGGTTTTAAACTCAGGGGTTGGCCTGCCCCCATCCCTCCCTGCCTAACTGATATTTCATTTCTCTACTCCTGCTGTTGTTATGAACCATTAACAGAATTGTGTTTTATAAATTTATTAAACAAGATTTTGAGAAAAAATAGAAATGTGGTGTTCTGATTTTCTTAAAAGCATCTGCTGTACACTGGCCATCAACATCATATATTGTGAATACTGTAGTCATGTCTGCAGGGCTGTTGCTAAACTGTGGAGCGCCTGCAACGCCTTTAGCCATGACTGTTTTCAAAATACAGTAAGAGCTTGAGTGCCATATTGCTTTTATTCAAAGATTACTACACAATCGTATATTTGACCAATCAGCATCCAGGATCAGAACAGTCCATTTTATAATCAAGAATCCACTTCAGCAGCTGTTTTAAGAGTCTGGCTTATATGTACTTGAGTGGACCAGCATGGACCGAGACACCAAGGCTTTTCTGAAGAGTTTGATACAGTCCACATCACCGATGTCTGCAAAAGTAAGTGTGGACATGCAAGATAGTATGTGACCATTAGACAGAATAAAGCTAATGTGTAGCATTTAAAGGGTTAGTTCACCCCAAAATGAAAATTCTGTCATTAATTACTCACCCTCATGTCGTTCAAAACCCGTAAGACCTTCGTTCATCTTCGGAACACAAATTAAGATATTTTTGATGGAATCTAAGAGCTCTCAGACCCTGCATAGACAGCAACGCAACTGAAATGCTCCCAGACAGAAATGTAGCAAGGACATCGGTAAAACAGTCCATGTGACATCAGTGGTTCAACTTCAATTTTGCGAAGCTACAAGAATACTTTTTGTGCACAAACAAAACAAAAATAACAATTTATTTAACAATTCTTCTCCCACGAGTTACGTCTTCTGCCATTTTGGAGAGTACCCAAGAACGTAATCAGCGTTGTTTACACTTAGGGTAAAGCGTGCGTATGCATTGTGATACTCTCCAAAATGGCGGAAGACAGTAACTCGGGGGAGAAGAATTGTTGAATAAAGTCGTAATTTTTGTTTTCTTTGCACACAAAGTATTGTCGTAGCTTCGCAAAATTGAAGTTGAGCCACTGATGTGACATGCACTTTTTTACCGATGTCCTTGCTATATTTCTGTCTGGGAACATTTCAGTTGCGTTGCTGTCTATGCAGGGTCTGAGAGCTCTCAGATTCCATCAAACATATCTTAATTTGTGTTCCGAAGATGAACGAAGGTCTTACGGGTTTTGAACGACATGAGGGTGAGTAATTAATGACAGAATTTTCATTTTGGAGTGAACTAACGCTTTAAAAGCTGTTCGTTATTTTCTGGTGCGTTTGTATGATTTGTGGTTAATTTCAACGGGAAGTCACAGGTTCATCTGTTTAGGGGCACAAGCTCAAGATATTTTCACATTTTATTCTAATCTTCCAAGTTGACACAAAATAACTCTTTCAAGCTTCATGCTATACTCAATGTCATTGATTACATTAGCATTCAATTTGATGATAGTGCCACCTGTTGGTCAATAGCAATTGTTATAAGTAATTCCACATATTGCATTTAAGATGATTTTCCTAAAATCATCACGGGGGATGTTTTGTCCAAAAAATCTATCTTTTATGCCATTGTTGTGCATGCTTCTCTCTGTCTCAGGCAGGTGTTCAGCTCAGCCCGTCGTGCTGGTGGTGCCCAGGTGAACTGCCATCTGTGTGAGAGTGTGTGTGGCCTCCCGATGAGACATATGGTCACTAATCTATTACAACTTAAATGAGGCACAGGGCTCGACCCACACTCACTTTACAGCCCGGTGGGGCACAATCAAATACACATTTTACATTAGTTAATAAATCTGTAAAGCAACAGACCATTGTGCTCTAGTTGTCAAATATAATTGACTCCTCTGATTAGTTGTGTCAGTGTGTGCCACAGGCATTAGTTTGTAAATTTAATTGCAGCTAGTCCAGTGCATGTATATGCGCCTGGCGTGTGCAGGGACTTTCTGGCCTGGTTGCTGTTTTGGCCCTGGGCTGCATCAGTTGTTCTAAATTGCATTAAAGCATCATGGGAAAACCGTACTAAGTGCAGGGTCAAGGGCGGCAACAGATGAGAGCCTCAGGAAAGTGTGTGGACAGTAACGCTATTACTATTAGAATAAGGGCAGTTTTTAAAGCACACTGCAATTCTCTGATAAATGTAGCTCCGCCAGGGATGCCTTTAGGGCTTGTGTGCACCCATAATCCCAGCTGTCCTCCATAAAAGCGGGATTAGTAAAAAAGTAAGGACATCATATTTTGGTTTTTGTTCCCCACCCCCATTTAAAGGGCTACTCATCCCAAAAAATAAAAATTCATGCCATCTCAGATGTATATGACTCATCTTCTTCGGGTGAATACAAAGAAAAATTTTTAACCATTGCTAATGGTCATATACAGGTTAATGGGAGCTTTGTGAAATGCAACATCAGTGTTGTGAAGCATGACGTTAGTGTGCGAGAAGTGACGTGTATGGAGTCAATATAATGCCACATATATATGCAAAATAATAAAGTTTTGCAAAAGAAAATAAAGTTTTGCAAACGAAAATAAAAGTATTGAGAAAAAATAAATGTTTTTTGCAAACAAAAATAAAGAATTGCAAAATATAAATGAAACAGCACAAAAGCAATGATTTTGCAATACATATTTTCCATGGCCATATCTACTAATTTATTAATAATAATAATAATAACAATAAAATACATGGACTTACAAGACTTGTGGGATGGATTAAAAAAAATTCTTGTAGGTCTATTTTATTTTATGTACTTTATTTAACATTTATTCATAATAAACTTTATTCGAATGTTGTCTACATCGCGTGCAACACAGTCCTGTAGCCTAGGACTATGGTTAACACTTACACCACCAGAGGTCGCTGTATACCTAAAAGCGCAGCGGGTTAAATTTACCCATGCACATGACTACTGTTTTGATATGGTTAGTCCACCCGCATGCCTCTGTTCAACGATGGTGCCTGGATCAGTGAGATGCCGATGACCTCACTTCCAGGGAGGCATGCCCAGGCCTGTTGTACACGCCCCCGTCCCTTGACTCCACCCCCA